TATAAATTTACATTTCACAGCAATGTGAGCATGATACGCTGAGAATGCTTGTATTTAATAATTAAAATAATAAATTTGTAATCACTTTTATAGATGAAGAAGGATGAGAGAAATATTTATACTTTTCTCTGAAACCCTCCGATACTAGTTTTATATTACAAAATTAATTTTGTATAAATTGTTGGAGTTGTTTTGACCTGCGTCTGTTTATATTTGTGGGGCTTTAAAACATATTATTTTCAATTTTAATAAATTTTGTACAAATTACAAATATAAGGAAGGAAAATTTAGAAGTCTATTATTAACATTAATTATTGTAAATGTATTCCTAAATTTTGAAAAAGAAAATTCTTATTTAAAATTTGACAATATTGTTCAACCTCAACACAAAATTAAATCAAGCTCGAATTTCAAGCCGTTTTACCCATTTTAATGTAGGCACAGCTAAATACATATGTTTGGTTGTATAAGTAAAAAGAGATAAAATATTGGTTTGGCTTGTTTTCCAGTAACATTCTTTAATTTCACTCTTAATCGAAACGACAACAATTCTCACTTAAGTAACAGTCAGTAGACAACTTTCGATTCGAACAGATCCATTCGAGTCACATTAGTTACCGTGTTTCATTTGTTATTCAATTATTCTGAAATCGTAAGTGAGAATAAACTAGTTGCATACGACTTTAATTAAGTGAAGTAAATCGATACTTGCCTTAACACCATCTAAACACGGTTCCGCGTAACCTTTCAAAGTATTTTTACGAATATTGCAAAATAGATGGATTACTAAAGTAATTAATTTAAATCTAACAAAACGCTTTTAAGAGAATTATTAATAATATCATAACAATTTTTAAAATATTTATCGAAGAAGTTGTTACATATTATGGAAACACACTGGAGTTAGACCACAGTTGCAGTGCCCAAATTCCCACCAATACATTCCGAAGCTTGCAAAACTATTCGAAATGCCCTGCGATTATAAATCGAATAACAAAATCACGAAAAGCTCTCTAATCGTTTACACATAAAATGCTTTCATTCCCACAACAGAGCTGGTGCATAAAAAATATAAATCATTTTTACATAAATATGAGTTTGCATTTAAGCCATATTTTCGATTATTTATTGCATTATTTCTGAGCAGGGATGACCCGTGTTATTTTACGTCGGAAATGTATGTCGTTTACGTCACTATTTCTGACGGACCATCTCTTTCCCTGACGCTTCAAAAATATTTTAAACTTTTTGTAAAGTATAAAAAAAAAGAAAATAAAAAAACAAAAATCATGCAAAATCGAGGTGCATTCTTTAGTACCGTGATTTAGATCATCTTGTAAAATAAATCGAAATATGAGAAGTGTTCTTGTAGGGTAAAACATGATAAAAAATATCAAAAAACTCGTTAAGGCGCTTTGTATAAATCCTATGCGAAATCGAAACAATTTCAAATACACCCTGCTTTCGCACCGTACAAATAATTACTCCTCTTAAACATTTGCTTCAAAGTACGCTAAAAACGTAAAAGTAGTTGAATTGTTGCAATTGCTAAAGAATTTTTGTTTATATAATGAATATTACTATAATTATGAAAATGATAAGTGAATGAAATGTGTATGTATACATTAATAAACAACAGCCGACAAACCAACAGTCTGAACTTCTAGGATTTGGTACCTCGATCTAGGCATAGTCTAAACACGCCTTTATAACGTATAGTTTAAACGCACCGCGATGCAATTTGTTTTCATCAAAGATTTCCTTTATTTATTATTATTTTTTGTCGATTGTACAACAAAGTAGCGCATACTAGATATAAATATAATTCTAGAAACTAATAACTTGTTTACTGGGGATTGCATGTACGAACGTTGTGAATATATTTACTGTTGTAATTATTGTTCTTATACAACAATATCTTTACAAAACAAGTAAAAAAGTGTCAGTCAGTGTTGCTGATTAAAACATATGCCTTTTATACAACGTGTAATATATACACTCAGTCTATGGTTTGCGTAGGTGTTCGGAATTATTATTTATTTATCATTCGTCGTATAAAAGACATATGTTTTAATCAATGAGGTTTCCGATTTAATGTTTTCAAGTTTATAAAATATTGACCCTTTGTGAGGGATCGACGATCAGAAGGAGAGGGTCGACGAGTCTTAGGTAATGCAAAGTTTGGTTCAAATCAGACATTCCATTCGCATGATATTAGCCATAAGGCTGAGAGTGTAAAAAATGTCAAAGGTTCAAACATTTTTTGTTTTATGGTAACTTCCAAAGAAGTTTTGACGAAAACATGGACCCAAATCCCCATTTTATATACTAACTAAATAACTAAAGCTCCAAATAAATACAACAACATAAGATTTTTTTACCTCTAACTATTCCACATAAATGACACTTATAAGATTTTAAATAATTCTCCCAAAGACAAGCGATCGATGTTCGTATATCTGCGAACACAAAGTACAGTTGACTATATAAGTCAACTGTGCTTTGTTTGTGTATACATACATATTTCATAATATCTCTGGCAATTGTTCTAATTTAAAGTGGTTTAAAGTGATAACAGATTGTCAGACATTATTTGTTTTTGAAAGAAAAGTACACTTGTTACAGAATTAAAAATTGCACAACTTTAGAGACAATTAAATTTACGAGATGTCAGTCATTGTATGCAAAAATGGTCACAGATATAATGACATCAAGGACATGACATCAATGGGATCGATTTCAGAATTGGCTTTTCTTCAAACTTTTTCAAGTCCATCAGGGTCATGGACGAGAAAAAATTTGGCTATTTTATGTCCTCCACGTTTCTGGTGCTATACTGTTTCAAAATTTTCTTCAAATTCTTAATAGGATTAATATCTGGGCTTTGAGGAAGAGTCTTGAGGTATTTGCGACAGTTATAAAGGATCCAAAGTATGGAATCTAGGGCAGTAAGTATGATCCCAAACTTACTGCCATCTGAAAGATAAAATTCCGGGAGATTCCCATTATGACTGCACTTTGCTTCAGTTTTTGCTTGAAAATGTTTGTGTAGTTCTTTGCTGGCATGACTGAGCGGAACCATGCTTGAATGTGGGAATTCGATTGGAACGAAACAAGCTCATACTGTTTTCTCGCCAAATTTTTACGCGTCCATCCGATATTTTTATATTGAGTTGGGACACATCCTAAAAAACAACTTATTTCCAGAAGTCATATTCCTTATTTCAGTAACTTTTGGATAACAATCAGATTTTTCTTATTATGACAAGGTATGAATTCCAAGGTGCCGTCCCAAAGTTTCAGTCAATTGACATCATATACAGACGCATCGATGCGGATTTATCGACGAAAAATGAGCAGTATCTTTTCTTTCTTGGGAACTTTGAACGCTTTAAATTTCGGCTTACTTGACGATATTAACAAAAACTGTAGTCTAGTGTAATGTCTTATATGTCATATTTACATATAAATATATTCAACAGGTTGTTTTGTTTATTTGAGATATTTTTACAGTATTATTAAATAAGGAAAATGTTGCGAAGAATTAACGGAATGTAATGTTTTTTTTTTTTAAATATTGAATTGTAAATATAATTATATTATACTCCGAAAACAAAATTTTACTCTCGAATGCTGTAATGTTAAATTTTAATTACATCTGAATTAGAAAATATTTAATTTTTTTGTTCTTTGCAAGACATTAAATACACATATAAAAATCGAGTTATTGTTTTGACAGAACAGGGCCACACAAAAGAAAACTTTGTAATCAGGAGGTACCATTAATCTACCTATTGTTATTGTACCATGGTAAGATAATACATAAAGCATGGTACAATAATACAAGGTAGGGCAGCTTGAGTTGAATAACAAAATGACAACTACGTAGCTGTTAAATGTTTCGGCAACAAGCATTTAACAGCTACGCAACAAGTGGTTGTGTTTATTTGACATTTTTTCAACATATAACTAAAAATGCGAGAAATTAATGAAAGGTTATGATTTCTTTCCAAAATCCAGTAGGGAATACCATGAAATACTTGTTTCATCCATAAAAAAGTAATTACTTCCAGATGGACGCGTTATTTCAATTTATTTTGATTTTTTTGACATAGTATTCAAAACAATACACACAAAATATGTATTATGATTTGATAGAACAAGCCACCTTGGTAGCCCTACCTTATGATAATTATACCTTGGTACCAAGCTCATTTTTCTATGGATGACATGTATTTACACTTAAGTATTCAGGCAAATTTTGAAGGCGGTATCCGTTCTTAAGATATGCACATATAACACGTTTATAATTATTGAGGTATGATTACTATTACTTACATTCAAATCCGTTAAAATTCAAAAACTATAGCTCCGGTCCAGAACCTTAAAAATCTACTAATTTTACAAGTTTTGCAACGATAAATTTAAGAGCGCACAAAACAAAATGGCGATCTCTTTGCAATATTTTTACTCGAACAATTTGTCCGAATAAAAATGGTAAACAGGAATGCCAACACCTGATTGGCTGCCATGTTGATTTTGAAGTATTGCTATCTAATTCTGGCATATTAACAAGATTTGCGTTCCCGAACTTTTCAAATTATTATATACTCTGAGAGCGATTTTGAAATGTTTCCTTTTACTAGCATTACTGTTAAAAAAAATACTGTAACAGACCATAGGTATAACAGAAAATGACAGCAGTTAAAAAAACGATTTCTGATTTGATAGAACAAGCCACCTCGAGGAAAAAATATAGTCAGTTGGTTTCTGCTATGTAATGTAATTAAAATTTAACATTACAGCATTTGAGAGTAAAATCTTTCAATGTTTTGGGAAGAAATATTAATATATATATTTTTCGAGATATTTTCCTTATTTAATAAAATTGTAAACATATATCTAGTCTAAAAGCGGCTTAACGGTGTTTTCCACAAAATCGGTTAACACACACACACATTATACCATGTATACGTATGTATATTTAAACTTTTTTGCAGATGCCAAACAATAGTTTTGAAGCAGTTAGTATTCCTTTCGAGCAGATAGATAAACTTGCCATATCAGGTGGTTATTCGACATTCTATCCAGCCCAAGAACCAGCAGTCAAAATATGGGGCGATTGGCGTCAACGTTATTGCTCTTTGGCAGATACTTTTAAACCAGTTTTAGAAAGGGTGTACAATTTCGATGTCCGAGAGGATGATATATACATAGTTACCAGTACTAAATGTGGCACAACATGGGCGCAGGAAATGACCTGGCTTATACTGAACGATTTCGACTTTGAGCGTGCCAAACAAATTGATTTGACAATTCGCTCGCCATTTTTAGAGTAAGTACATCTAAAAAAAATATATGATATGAAAAATACACCCCAATAACTTTTAGGTTCAACGGTGTTGTGCCAAATGTTCCACACGATACTATTGAGGCGGCCAATGGACTGGAATCACCACGTTTACTTAAATCACATCTTCCGGCTATGCTGTTGCCAAAAGAAATATGGACAAAGAAACCAAAGGTAACAAAAGCAATGTTAAATGTGAAGACGCCAATAATAAAAAATACGGTTTCAGATCATTTACGTTTTTCGAAATCCAAAAGATGCAGCTGTTTCATATTTTCATCATTGGCGTGGGATGGTCGGTTATAAAGGGACTAAGGAGGATTTCGTGCAGTCCTATATGGATGGCCATGTAAATTTCAATCCTTTTTGGCCACATGTTCTAGACTTTTGGTATATGCGCAACTCACCTCAAGTGTTTTTCACAAGTTACGAACGTATGAAGTTCAATTTGGGCGCAGTGATCCAGGATGTTTGTCATTTCCTCAATAAAACAGTAAATGATAGGCAACTCGAACAGATGATCGATCATTTGTCATTTGACAAAATGAAAGACAATCCTGCCTGCAATCATGTAAAGGAGTTCGAAAGCATGAAAGCCGCTGCCGGCCGTGAAGTGGACGAATTTAGATTTGTGAGACGTGGCATTGTCAATAGCCATAAAGACGAATTGCCCGCAAATGTGATAAAAAAGCTCGATGAATGGACTTGCGAGTATTTGAATGATTTAAATTTGAGTTTGGAAGATTTCACTAGTTACTCTAAGTATTAATATTATTTACAAAATTAGTTAACATATAAATATAAAATTAGCGATTATAATAATTAATTGAAAATAAGTTAACAATATAAAATTAATAAATCGGGCGGAAACATGAAATCTGATCTTATCCACACATATTAAAACGGTAAACATAGCTGTCTCCAATATTGGTAAAGATTATGAAAATGCTGTCTACATGGCCATTTGTTATCCATTCATTATAGCTACTGATTTCATACATGGTTCGTTTAACCCTACGGTCAATAACCGGGTACATTTGTAACTTTTTTGAAAAAAAAATTCTGTTAAATTTTTAATAATGAAAATATTTGGATTAAATTTTGAGGAATCATTCTTGAAGAATTTTCACACATAATCAAAGAAAAAAATTATAAATATTTTCCATATATATAATTTTTACAAATTTTTAAAGTTATTACCTACGTAGATCAATAACCGTGGTACATAAAAGGTACCTGCTGATTACAATTTTTTCTTTTATGTGCCCCTCTTTTTTTAAAACAATCACTCAATTTTTAAATGTTTTGAAAAGGACAAAAAAATATTTTCAAATTCGGATGTAATTACAATTTAACATTACAGCATTTGAGAGTAAAATCTTTCAATGTTTTGGGAAGAAATATTAATATATATTTTTTCGAGATATTTTCCTTATTTAATAAAATTGTAAACATATATCTAGTCTAAAAGCGGCTTAACGGTGTTTTCCACAAAATCGGTTAACACACACACATTATACCATGTATACGTATGTATATTTAAACTTTTTTGCAGATGCCAAACAATAGTTTTGAAGCAGTTAGTATTCCTTTCGAGCAGATAGATAAACTTGCCATATCAGTGGGTCGATTCACTATCAAAATTATACAATTCTCAAATCGATAAAATATTATAACGACAAAATAAACAATATTTTAATTCTATAACACTTTTTAACAACAATTGTTAAAAATGTTGTTAATAAACAACACCAAAAATTCCGAAGTTAACTTATCGACAAATATTCTTCAATATTGAACATGCCTTGTTTTGTTCAAAATTTGTATGTATGTTGTTTTCAAAATGTTTCAAATTAAAAGCTTTTTGAAAGCTTATCGACAAGTTGTTTACATTTTTACAGAATAACATGTTCGTTACTGCAAACGATTTTTTGTGTAGACAAAATTGTCGATTGTCGGATCGTTATAAGTTACTGAATCGACCTACAGGTGGTTAATCGACATTCTATCATTTTCATTTTCGGTGTTTTGAAGTCTTTTTTAAAATTGGTCCATGTTTCGGGGTAGTAGATTAGGCACCTCATGATAACTCAAAATATCAGACTGGAGCTAATAGTACAATAACAAGAGGGAGGTTAATGGTACCTGCCTATTACAATTTGTGCCCTGTGGGTCGATTCACTATCAAAATTAAGCAATTCTCAAATCGATAAAATATTATAACGACAAAATAAACAATATTTTAATTCTATAACAGTTTTTAGCAACAATTGTTAAAAATTTTGTTAATAAACAACAGCAAAAAATTCGAAGTTAACTTATAGACAAATATTCTTTAATATTGAACATGCCTTGTTTTGTTCAAAATTTGTATGTATTTTGTTTTCAAAATGTTCAAAATTAAAAGCTTTTTGAAAGTTTATCGACAATTTGTCTACATTTTTACAGAATAACATTTTCGATACTGCAAGCGATTTTATGTGTAGACAAAATTGTCGATTGTCGGATAGTTATAAGTTACTGAATCGACCTACTGTTCTGTTCTTTAAAAGGAAAACAAATTAAAATATTTTCAAATTCAGATTTAATTAAAATTTGGGAAGAAATATTATTATAATTATATTTGCAACCCCATATTGTGAAAAAAACTTGACATTCCAATCATTTATCGCGATATTTCCCTATTTAATAAAACTGTAAAAATATCTCAAAAACAAAACAACCTTTGAATATGTTTATATGTAAACATGACATAATAAGACATAACACTAGACTACAGTTTTTGTTAATTTTGTCAAGTAAGCCACTCAAAAATATGTAATAAATTTTGTAATAAATAATATGGTAATAACGAATGCACACATTCAAAATAAATTTGTCATGATGGATAAATTTCAGGTGAAAGTCAGGTCGTCCTGACGATTTCGTAGGACAAATCTTCGAAAGATTGGATAAGCATGTTAGAAACGCCGAATTTGTGGGAATGTTATAATCAATTAGATAGTAAAAACCAACGTTAAAACTTATTTTTTTTTTAATAAAAGTGTTTATTTTAATTAAAATATGTAATGCTTTTAAATATCTTAGGACGTGTGCTATTTAAAATGTCCGCGAATATAGCGAGAAATAATGAATACCATTCAATCTCTTAAAATATACTTAGTTGTTCGACAATTCGAACATTACAAATTAACAACAACATGTTATTAAACAAATAACTGTCAACAGAATGTGAATATATATGAAGAAAAGAAATGTCAATGAAAATATGCATAATAACTGTGGTATTTAACGTGTTGCCACGGTATATGTGTCTGAGCCGATTTGAACAAAACGTGACACACATTTAGTATAGCTATAAACAAATTAATTATTTTCAAAGTAATAGAACGTTTACATTTAACCAGATTTCGTTAACTCAGTGGGTTTCAATTGTCATTTCCTTTGCATATATGTCAAATAAATCCTCATAAAGTAGGTTAACCCGGTAAACAAGTTCTAATGTACAAGGAGTTTAAGCTTAAGACCGGTACTCCTGTATGCCTTTTCAGTTTAGTTTGACATCTCGCCCACAATGATAAAAAATATGACATTTTGAGCGTCATGTGCTTCGGAAGTACATATATCGTAGTTTTTAGTTGTCCAATAAGCATTACTCGAATGATTTCATTTATAGAGAGGAAAATTACTCCGGTAGGGTTTTGTGTAGACTTTCTGATTACGATGGCAACATGCTTAAAGACATTATAAATTATTTTTCAACGATTGACATTTTTCAAGAGCAAATGTATTGTCAAAATTAAAGTTTTTATCCATGTTCTATTCCCGGCACACATAGAAGGTAATATTTCTATTTATTGTTTTTTAATTTACCTAAATTTTTAGTTTGAAATTATTTATAAGTTTTAACTTTATTTTATTTAGATACAACTCTACAAATAATTTCAAGTGTCAGGAGCAAACACTGTTCACAAAATTATTAAAGATATTGTAAAATAATTTTATTACAAATACTATAGGAATGTAGCATTATCATGTAATGATTTTAAAATAATACATTATCGGTTTTAACTTTCTTTATACCCAGTAGTTCGAGTAACTGGTGTTGAACTAGATATTTTACTAATTACCTGTAAATACCACTAGATACCACTTCATGCCCTACCTGGTGAATTTAACTGGGTATGTCATTGGGGGAGTCAATTGTCCCCTGCCTGCGTTACCAGTATACAGTCATTTCGATAGTCGATTCATTACCCTTTGCATTACCAGTAACTATTGAATTGGTATGATGTGCGTAGGCAACTTTTTCAATTGACAAAAAAATCGAACAGTCTATTTTGTGTTCCTTTTTGGGGTATGAAGTAACTAGATCACCAAGTAACAAGCTATATAACTATATATCAGAAGACAATTGATATTTTTTTGAACAATAAATATATTTATTGTTGTATAAACACTATGAAAAAAGTCTCAATAGATTCAATTCAATTTCTATTCATACTTAAACAAACAATTTTTGGGAATAAGAAATATGAATGAAATGTGTTGGTATATGTAAGCTTTTTGAATATCCTCCCTCATACTGATCTTGATCGTTCCATCGAAAGTTTTACACACATTTCACACACCGTGGGTTAGAATTTATGATTATGGCCGAATTATTTCTTTTTATACCCTATTCTTTTTAAAATTCTATGTCGAATTATGAATTTCTGTCTGCCCTGTTGCACACAATATTAAGATAGAGATTTGTCATTTTGCACATATATTCTTACTACTTTTTGCATGTTTGGTGTTGAAAATGGGATATATCGGTACACGTTTTTCACTTTTTATTTGGGGAGTTTGGGCATGATTGTTACCGAAATGGCTGTAATTTACTACAGTAAAATCTCGCTAATCCGGATAATATATTGCAGACCCCAATCCAGATTGCCAAAATTTCCGGATTATCAATGTTTCTAAATTGGTTTAAATTTATAAAATTTTAGTGATCATCATTTATGTTTTTTATTACAAAATAATATTATTCATTTTTAAAATATGAACATTAAATATAATACGTAACATTTTCACTAAATTTTGAAACGATGCCTACCAGATTGTCCACCTAAATACGTGTAAATAATTGCGTTATAAGTTACAGACTGATCATCAGCGTAGACGTGTGATAAGCTTGGTTTTATTGAAAATTCGTAAATGGTACTAAAAATACCAAATATTGCACTGTGTGAAAACAGCTAGAAGTTTTTAGAATTTGGTATTTAGCTTTGCCTATCATAAACAAAATTGAATACACAAAAATGTCGGTAAGTTGTTCATAAAAGTACTAATAAGTACTAAATATTGAATACGGTGTAACTGGGAGTCATCCTAGACAGAAAACTTTAATGGAAGACCACATACTGCAACAAGTAGACAAATCATTATTATCAGGATGCGCCAAGAATTAGCTCGCCAATGATTCAAAATACGCTCTTTTCGTTCGGGCTCATTTTACATAATACGATAAAACATCAACAAATATTCGTGAACTCAATAGTTGTTGGACATGTGTTTTGTTATTCCACACATGCCGGGTAAATACCCAAGGGGTGGGTAAATACCCGTTTGCGGGTATTTATTTGGGTATTTACTACATTGAATCGGTAATACAACATCTTACACCCTATTTCCGGGTTTCTGTTTAAAGACGTGGGTAAATACTTGGGTAAATACCCGACTTTTTACCCAAAAATTGGGTATAAACTCATTAACTGCGGAACCACTTGACACAGACGGCCAACATTTTGCATACATGTTTTTAATGTCCAATTTTCGATATAGCCCCAATATATTCCTATCTCCCGATTTAAGGTATTTTTTGACTATTAGACACATTTTACAACCGAATTGGTTGTAATTTGGCACAGAGTGTTCTTTTTGGGTACCAAATGTCCATGCAAAAATGTATGTATGTAGGTCCACGTTTACTGGTAGCCCCCATTCAAAGGTACCCCTATTTTGAGTATTTACCCAAAAATCGGGTATAAACTCATTAACTGCCGAATCACTTGACATAGGCGATCAAAATTTGGCTCAGATGGTTTTTATATCATCTTTTATACTGGTATGAAAAATGCGAAATGTCGTTTTTAACAAAATGGTTCAAATATCAACATTATTTCCTGTATGGGGTCTTCAAAACACATGTCAAGTGGTTCGGCTGTTAAAGAGTTTATAAATATATATAAATACCCAAAATCAGGACCGGTATATAGAAAACGTGGATCAGCGTAGACAATTTTTTGCATGGATAGGTGGTACTCATAGATAACTCTCTGTGCCAAATTCCAGTCAGGAAATTACCCAAAATCGGGAGGTACGGTTATATGGGGGCTATATCAAAACATTTCCTTGTATTGATATAAAAACCATCTGAGCCAAATTTTGACCGACTATGTCAAGTGGTTCCGCAGTTAATGAGTTTATACCCAATTTTTGGTAAAAACTCGGATATTTACCCAAGTATTTACCCACGTCTTTAAAGTATCGTGAAACTATCGGAAAGAGGGTGTAAGATGTTGTATTACCTATTCAATATAGTAAATACCCAAATAAATACCCACAAATATAGTAAACCGGGTATTTACCCAATTTTTCGGGTATTTTCCCTTTGGGTATTTACCCACTGTCCATCTCTATGCATTCGCGAACATTTGTTTTTTTAGTTTTTCAAATGAATGCTGTTCAGCAACAAACATTTAAATAATTACAGACAGACTTTACAAAAACGACATTACAAGTAGAAAATGTTAACTAGCTTGAACTTAAAATATTTCGATTAAAAATCAAGAAAACAGCGATTAGAATGAAATAGGAATCGAGCGGAATATAATATATAATAACCACACATTAAAAACAGGAATGCCGCAAGTTTGTTAATTTTTCTAACGAGCTGGTTGAGCCTCTGCGCACCGCAGTTCTGCAAAGCCTTAGCATTCCGATTAAAAAATTAACGTGCAGTAATGTCTGGATTAAATGTCCGTTATAATAATTGCCCTGATAATACACAATTTTCAACCTAACCACCCCAATACACCATAATACGACGCGTAATTGTCTCTGGGAATCCGGAGCCAAGGTAAAACAAAACAATCATGTACAAACAATTTTTGTAAACAGTTTATTACGGTTAAAGTTCCAAATGAAATTGTCTAAGTAACTTATAATTGTAACATAGTAAATCCTTAACCTGCAAGGAGATGAACAATACAGACATACAATGTTAAGTTAATGAAATACATATCTTAAGATACTAAATAAGGGTTAAAGTTTCACATTAGTTGATCCTACATCCTCTGCATAATTTCAACAATTTTATAGAGAACGATGGATCTTCTACATATACTTAGGTACATTTACAACAAGCGTTACATTCATATTTGTATGATCATACATTTATATATTTATTCCTTAACTACAAAATACACGCACGCACATGTGCTAATTGTATACTTAAATGAATTGTGTCACTGACCAGTTAAGATGGATGTTTGTGTGTTTACACAACACCACCGTAGAATGCAGCAAATGTTTTTTACCATAATGCATTTTAGGTCATTAATCAAATATGTTTATTTTAGATTGTTACACTTTCTGACAATAAAATTTTATAATATTTTTTATTCATATACCCATCTGTTTTTCACATGTAATAAAGAATCACGAATTACTATGTGGTAATTGGTAAAGTGAAATTGTAGACATTAGTCAAAGTAGGAGCTTAATTCTTGAATTTTTATCGAGTTTTTATGATGACAATTCAAATTTCGACAACCGCTATCGAATACATAAGAAAAATTTTCAGTATTAGCAATTTAATGGGAGTAGGACTGAGAAAGTAAATTAATTATAACCAAGGTTTATTCATAAGGTTAACAGGGAGGCGAATCCGATATCTTCATTGACGGTCAAATTTATTATTTAAGGAATAAATAAACAAAAAATATTTGTATATATTTGAAAAAATTTTGAGTTGTTTTCCTGTTCTGGTTGGTATTTCGCGATTAAAATTTTGACAGCAAGAGCAGACTAAGCCATGAATTCGTCACCCGGTAGACCTTATTTAATAGGCCATGATCATAACCTTTCGTTTAGCAGTGACAGGACAGACGAAGGCAATTAAGTTATACATAAATTATCAACAAATATATTCAATGTTGTCATTGTTGGGTGCAGACAATTTGAAAAAATAATTCTGAATCCATGATTGAGAATGTTTATTTTTATTACAATTGTATTATGTTAGCTTTCAAATTAATTTATGTCCAATCCATTGAATAATAAAATAATATTTGTTATTTTGTTTTTAAATATGTTTTTAAATAAAATGATTGCCCAGTAGTGCAATTCTGGAACTATTTTTTGGTGTTATCGACAAAGATCGGTAATTTTTCATTTTAAAATTAAAATGTATGTCAATTTTTTCATATCTGTATAAGCAAATAAAAATTTGCATTTACCGACGTAAATTCTTTCGTTAAACAGTTACAGAATAGTACTACAGGTTTTCTGTTAATAAAAAATTTAAGACAGTCATAATATAATTGACAAAAATATAAATGTACATATTGCTAAAAATGGACCAGACCAAGGATAGTCTGGTCTGCCAAAAAAGTCGTTTGTAAATACGAGCTAAATTTAGAAATTAAAATATATACATGGTAGAATTATACTTGGTAACTGCAATACTCAGCTGATTTGATTTCAATTTCGTTTTGATAAATTAAGTTTTAAAAAATGACCCAGTAGGAAAATTGAAATTAATATCGAAATAATAATACAGATTTTAAGCGCTTTTCTATAAGTTACATATACATATGGCAATGGCTCAATTAGAGGAAAGGTTTTGAAACGATAAAATTAAAAATTGTAGAAATTTTCATTCATGTCTTCCAATTTTGTTCTGATGAGATTTGTGTCCTTTTTGACAATACCTATTTCTTTGATGCACTTTTGGTTATTGTTATGTTGTAGTTTTGCAGTTAACCTTGTACAATTGTACCATTAAATGTATAGGATAAAAGTACAGTGTTCCGAGACATGTTTTTTATTGTCGGCATGCCGTATTTTTATAAGAAAGTGGTCCAGCAAGAGAAGATTAATTTCTTTCTAGAACCAGGTTGTACCGTTATGATCGGGACTGATGTGTGCAAACAATATATTAATGAATCTTTAATTAACTAAAAAAAGAAGAAACGGTCGATCATTCCATATCATGATCATATATATATATAGAATTATTTTTTCATACTGTATATACGCATATAAGAAAAAAGTTTCATATAAAAAATACATTCATATAACAAAATCCCGCATAAAAGAATAAATTTGTTGATTATTTATGTCGTTATATTCGCGATATATTGTATTATTGTGGAAAGCAACTTAAAATTCATTGTTAGATATATTTGAGCCTAAATACAAATGATACCAAATATTGGTACATGCCAGAATAAAGACCAGCCTACGTTCTTTTAAACAATTTCTTAATATGTTTGGATATAATTTAGATTCAGTTATTCTTCAGATTATTCTACTGTTTATTCTGATTTATCAAAATTATGTATTATTTCAAATGTCCTCTTATTTCGAAAATTCGATAATATTTCTGAAAAAATCCGTTCCGTTCACTATTAGATTTGTTGAGTTAATTTAGCTTCACATATGTAGATTTTCATTATCATACATCGGCTCATAACTTTGACCAATATCAGATGTAAATACATAATTGTAACAACAAAATTGGGTACGGGTCTTATACAATGCTTAGAATTGAGCAAAGAACGCGTTCGAACAAGTTCTGTTCATTAAATGGAACTATAATGGAGTTTGTTACACGTTTATATGAATATAGTAAATACATTATTTGGTTGTGATTCTAATATATGTATGTTCTCTATGTTTTGTTCAGTCATTTAGACGCTTTATAAACGTCTTGTATCAAATTTAATTTAGGGTTCTTTTGATTTTATTTTTAAAAAATATACATATATAAAAATATATGTATATACATATATATTAATACAAAATAGTCCAAGTGTACGTAGTGTTTCCTTATGGTGGGATTGTACTTTTCAAAGACAAGTCAAATGGTGTTCATATTAGTGATTTGTACGTAGTTGTGATTTCGAAACGATTGTCTTAAGTTATAATTGAAAGACCCTTACGGAAATAGCTGGTTCGACCAGGTTCCTAAGGTGTCCTGACATTTAGATATGCAATTAAACACAAAGAGTGTACTAATTAGTTCTGAAGAAGACAGCCTATTCATCAAATGTGGTGGAAATGTTAATGCTGTTTGGATGGACGATTTAAATTCTGTTGGGATATACATATGCATAACTTGCAATTATTTGATAAATGAGAATAAACCAATTTACAGATGTTAGGATGTGACATATAAGTGAAATGGGATACATTGCTTCTTGGCTCGTAGTGTTTCAAACACCACATGTCGTATCTTATTCGTCATTTAACATTTAATTTGGTATTTCAGGAGAGTCACGGCCTCGTGACGGATAAGACGCAGTTTCACTTCTGAACGTACTCCTCCATTTCATGTTCACCAATCGGAACAACGCATTGCAATTGTAGCGGTTGTGGTTTCAATAGACCGGAGAAAAGTCTTTTAAAGGCCATGTGCTATTTCAGAGCTGATTTTTTGTTCATCAGGGACATTTGCTTAGCCTTCACCTCTGCCAGTGTGTGTATACCCTGTTCTTCAAATTTCTTCCACTGCGAATAGTTAATCTGCATGTAGGTGATTAATTCTGGCATATCAATGAAACCTTTAAAACAAAAGAAATAAAAAATAATGCCATGTTGGAATACTTATGTTTGGCGATATATTTTAAAGTCACAATGTTGTATCGTTTAAATAAATTATAACGCCTATATTCAATACTTACTGTCCCAGGCATGCATCATATCTTGTATTATATATTCGATGAAACCTATTTGACTTTTTGGTATGCTGCATGTGCCACGATCAAACATGGGCATGACTATTGGAAGATTTTTGGCTTTCTCTTCGTCGGTTTGTGTGAAGTATTCTTCCGCTATACGCCGCGACCACTCTATGCAACAAATCATTGGCCGGGCAGGATTACTGACATCGGCCACCTTAATAAGCATACGACGCATAAGAACGGAACTTTCTTCTTCGCTCTGCACAATCTAAAAGAATAATGAAATATTTAACGTGTCAGAATGTTTTGTAGAAATAGATAAGGGATATGTATTGCCTGATTTTATAGAATTTACCAATTAACAGAAAACTTGATAAATAAAACATCTGGTCCCCGATAATATTGACATTCGCTCTATAATATCTGCCTGCACGTATTAGGGTAGTTCGAATATTATAGGAATAAAAAAATGTTTCTCATTTGCATTAAAATGTCCTTATAAAAAATGTTCCAATATGTTTTAAATTGTTTCCCTGTATTGTACACAAAGTCTATGTATTAGGTCAAAAATGTAGATATTAGCGGGCTTTACTGGATGAACTTATACATAGACCTTGACAAAACTCAATTGATTTAAACTGGTAAATTCAGTTTGATTTTGAATTAACAAAACTTAAAAATAAACATGTTAATATATATATATATATATATATATATATATTGCGTCATAACAAATACATATAATTCCGTTTGTAACTCATCGAAATATTCATTTCCGATCCTATGAAGTATATATATTCTTGATTATCGTGAAATTCTAAGACAATCTAGCAATGTCTGTTGTAATAACGATATCATCTGAAGTAATTGAGATAGGGTGCTGAAATTTTGCATAGGTTTGTATTTTGTCTGCAGGCAGGTCAAGTTTGAAGATGGGATATGTCGGTCCACGTTTAGGTATTTTTTTCCCCAGTATTTTGGGGTTCTTGAGCACGTTTTCAATTTTAAGTTCTTAATAGGTAACAAAACTTCACACAAAAAATTTTGAATAAAAGTCCATTTCTTCGGATAGTCCCATATAAGGGTACCCCCAATTTTCGGTATTTTGGGGTTCTTGAGCGTTTTCAACCGAATTCCCTGTAATTTGGTATTTTGTATTCGATATCAAAAATTATTAATATTCGCCCGCTTTTTGGGGTAGTCCCCATATAACCCCTTTTTTAAAATAGTTGTCTGATTTTTTTTCGCGTTTTGGGTTTAACCCCATGTAGTCGCATTTCACCATAGTAGTGTATATATTCTGTACTCGAAATATGGAATTTTAAGACGATTTAGTCATTTGTTTGAATCATTCTAACTTCGGGAGATATCCAGGTAAAAAACTAGAACGGCCAGGTTCGTGAATGAAATATAATATATCGTCCTCCAGTTAGGTCTATCCCTCATATTGTGATACCTACCCATTTTGGGTATTTTTAATATTTAGAGTGAAGAAAGGCATTGTGATGACAAAATGTTTGGTTAGAAATAGAGCTATATCAGTCCTCAATTATGCATAGAACCTTAAATAATTACAACTCTAACTGTACATATAATTACAACTCTAAATGTACATATCTACACATATTGAACCAGCAGCTCAACCCCCACATTTTGGAGTTTTGCGATTTAGGTCAAATCTCTAATAAAAATTGCTGAAATTTGTATTTGGTAAACATTATGGTTTACAAAAACAATTGTTAGTATAGGTATAGTTGTTTATTTGTTCCCCGTATTTTCATTTCAAGTAACTATCATTATACCTATTGTTAAGGGTATCCAAAGTTCGCCCCGGCCGAACTTAACGCCCTTTTCACTTGTTTAATTTGATATCCCCTTTGTAGCTAGGTTTGTAATGTAAGTAATGTTATCTTAAATGTGCAGGTATGAATTGTGCGCTTAAACGAAATACTTGAGAGAGAATATAAGAAAGAAATGTATTGGGGGCAGCTAAACCCAAAGGGCAGCTAAGTCAAAAATACTTTGTCTCTTAGCGAACTAAACAAAATTTTAAAATGTGTTCAAATATTTTACATAACCCCCTTAACAAAAACATGTCATTTATCGTTTATAATACATAAAAACGTGCAAAGGCGGATGTATATAAAAACGATTATTACTGGATTAATTGTGGTATTTATTACATTTCTTATGAATTCTACTTACATCTCTAGGCTCCATTTCGGTTCCAAAAACGCTCACAAATTTAGCTAAATGCTCAAAATGCCGCGTCATTTCTGTAGCTAAAATCATGTCTATGATTGTCGAACGAGCCACTTTGTATGTGTCTGTATCTAAATTCTTAAAAATGTTAGCACTGTCATCACCTGAAAAACAATAATAATAATGTTTAATATTATAAAATTTTCTGAAGAAGATTACTCACCTAAAGTTAGCCTAAATGTAGTTGATGCATGATGTGATTCAAGTACGGTTAAATCATTATATAATATGGCCAACGGGCTATTTGAATTGCAAAGAAATGCGGACGATCGTCCAGGATGATCAACATCGTGTGCTGCTGCTGCAATTAGAGCGGAAGCCTCTTCTAGACGATCCATTACCAAGTCTTTGGCTGCAAGTTGTGATATGAAGACACCCGTTGCCTTCAATCCAATTAAACCAAAATGACAAAAACGTGACACTGTTAATATTTTCACTACGTTGTTGCTAGTAATATAATGTACCTGCATAACATCGGCCGCATGTGTACTGTTGTGGTATGAGTTGTCCGCATGGTAATTTCGTTCTATTATAGCCAACCAATTTTTACAGACATTTTCGTCCACATTGAGCGTAGCAAACACATCAAATCGGCGAAATATTTCCATTCCCAAATACAAAAGAGGATGGTTCTCAGTGATTTCCTCCAATTTGAAAATGTTAAATTCCCAGTTTAGAGATTCTTCAAGTATTTCCATAATGAGTGGAGTTGCCTAGGTGAGGAGATGAGGAGAGATTATGTAATAGAATGTGACATAGAACTTTACCAAATAACGTACCTTCATCTTTGCTGGCATTATGGTAGACTGACGATTTGTGCAATTTGTTCGAACAATCGAATCATTGGAACTGCGACGTGATGAATATACATTTGGTCCCTGTGAAGCAAATGCCATGGTTAAATATGCGAAAATAGCTTAGTGGATTTACCAATTGAAACACGTACCGTTAAAAGAGCACCAATAAGATCAGTTGCAATGGGATCGTCTGTGCGTATTTCCTTCATCTGGGGACTGTACAAGCCTTCGCGTTTCAAAAACTCCATAACCTTGTCGATCAGTCGCGCCTCTTCTGCGGAGCAATTCTCCTGTACTTGCGAGAGCAGATTGATTATCTTCAGCCACGTCGATGATAATTATGCAGTTTGAAACAAAATGATGAACGCAGAAACGAAGGACCAAATAAGGGACAAAACGTACGAATCAGCCAATAACAGCGTGTTAGGTAAAAAAAAACAAACAAAACGTAAACGTTGTTAAATAGGCACAATTTTTCACAAATTGTTCTTTTTTCGACATTTCCAGACAAAATTCGTTTTTCATGTTTTAAATCAATTAAATTTAAAGAACACATTAAGCTTGCTAATTTCAAGAATATGTTTTGAAATCAGAATAAAATAGATTCAATTGATATAAAGTTGCAAATGCATTTGTTAAACAAAACTTCCAATATCTCTAAACACAAAATGGATATTCATTCAAAAACGAAAAGCTGGATCGGTGCGAGGAATTTGTTGGAATCCCAAAATGCACTTACTTTTGTTATAGGGGCTTCCAGTGGTAGCGAAGTGAGCTTTGCTAAACTGGTTCGACGCAAGCCGTCAGAGGCAATTGATCGTACGTCAAAACTTCCTCGTCGAATTGAGTGTAGCGAACCACGAGGCGCTTCTTTGGGCTGAGGCAATGTAGCAATAAAATCCATTTGCCCGCCAGGTACATCGAAATTGAATACGAAATGTGTTGGAGTTCTGAAATAGGTCAACAGCCACTATTGTTAGAAGAAAATTATGTTATTTATTTGCATCTTACCTTCCAATGCATGCCACAGGAACCACCCTTACGTGCATTGGTATCCCTTCCTGATTCTTCCGTTTTACTGTAAGAATGCCATCAAATTCTCGAACACCTTTTCCTTGGACACTGTTGTTGATAGAGGACACGTCAGATATGAAAATGTCAGCTAAGGGCTTGCTAATGACTTCATCCTGCCGATAATAGAAATAATCAGTGAATCTCAGTTAATTTATTTTAATTTAGTGTTCATTTTCTTTCCGACAAGATTAAATATGGTTCAGATGTTTCATAAAATATTTAATAATGTATTTTGGGCAAAATCGAACACAGTGAGCCACACTTTTCATAATGTATATTAATGTATTTGATACAAATTAGTATTTAGCTCATAATATTTACCAGAAAAGCACAAAATGTTTTAAAAGGTAGTAAAAAAGATTATAAGATTATGTGTCTTTTGTTTAATAGTTACGTTTTTCTAAACATAAAGTTAATGGAGGCTTGGCATATCACGTTAGGGAGTTCTTACGATTGTACACAATTTGCTGGATATGACCATGTTATGATTATACAAAGTAGGATAGATTTGGTCAATAATGAAAAAATACACCTCTACCTTGAGGCTTGTTATGTCAAAATAAATAAATACAAATGCAAAAAGTCGTTGTGTCCATTGGGCATATATTTTACATTGTAGTAAAAACACGAAAAATTAATAGAACGTCAGTATTTCTTCGAGATTATCAAACATAGCATGACCGCATCCGACATCGAATGCTTACTATCGTAATTTCCGAAAAAACTATCGTATGAACGGTTGGCATTACAAGCGACAACAAGAAAAATTCTAATTTGTATGTTGATGTAGCCTTATATGATTGTACCAGGGATATGACTATACATTTTAAAAATGTTAAAATTAAAATTCAAATCTCCTTACAATGTGGACACTATTATGGTATACGTGTAACCCATAATTATTAGCATTACTTACCAATCGCATATTGAGCAATCTTTCTGCTGATCTATTGGCGTATTGAATCCTTAAGAGATCATCTGTTATTATAAGAACTTCTTTCAGTCTGTGTAATGCTGTATAGAGGGCCTAAAATGAAAACTACATTAGAATATTATACATATGTTAAATGAGATCAATGCTTATACCTGCTGAGTGGAGATGACATTGTGTGGCCGTACAATGGAGTGTAAAATTTGTTTTAGTTCCATGGCACACATTGAGAGGCTTGTATTTTCGGCCATACACTGAAAAAAAAAATAAATAACTTGCTCGGTGACCTAATTTCCACAATGTAAATTGTTCGAATTTGTAGAGATAAGAACGTGTCCCTCAATTTGCATACAAATTTCAGTGGGTTTGCAGAAAAGTTGCGATTCATATAACAGGGAGACTGCTAACCTTTCATAATTTAGATACTTACCCTATTGACGCCAGCGTCCAATAGTGCATTTATCACATCATCCCTTTCGAACATGCTGCAATAGACACGGAATTAATACTAGGGAAATTTGAATATTTTCTCCGAATGAAAAGATAATTTACCTCTTCTTAACCACTGCAATTATTGTTGTAAAGTTATGTCCACTCATGTGTCGTATAGATCTATTACAAATAAATAAAAACATTCCAATAAATACTAATTACTGAGATATAGGGTGGTTATTTTGTGGGACGATTGTATTTTGAAAAATATAAAAAAATTGAAAGAAAAGTTGAAAAATCGGACGAGGCCGACCCTATGATACACTTCACCACATTCGGTATATACAAGAGATGCCCCTGAGATTCTTGTCGTAAGATACAGTAACACAGGGACATACGGAGAAGGGGGTCGGACGGGCCGATACTCTACACATATTCCGAGCCTGGGCGATACTTCACGACATTTGCATTCTTTTAATCCATTAGAGGTCAAAAGCTCTTCTTTCTTACACTGGCATATTTTACGAATCATGTTTTTCCGGAGTAATTATTTGCGCCATACGATTAAAATTGGGTATTTGACACACAAACTTCTTGGTTCACTTGATCCTAAATTAATAGTTGACCAGATCATATATCCTAGAACGACTAGGAAACCATACAGAAAAAGTTTTTGGTCCATTCCATCTTCTAAATATGAACTGATCATCACCGAAATTTGTAGGTGTCGTCCTGTATGCAAAATTTCGTGACCATTGGTCAATGAATGTGGCCTGTATCGTGTTAACAAATTATAATGGACCAACGAACGGACAGATATCTAGATCGACTCAGCTAATCGCGATATGGGTTTAGGACCAATATTTATCGGCGTTGCCAACTCTTGGGGCCACACAAAGTTATAATACCCTGACACGCTCAAACCCGTGACAAAATATCTTAATGGCTAGCACAGACCTCAATCCGAAGGATAATTAGTGGCCAATCGTAAAGCGACAAATCTTTGGCTGCAGATCTGAGGTGATTGAAAAAATGTTTCAAATTAAATTGTTGAATTTATTTGAAAGTATGGCAAATTGCATAAATAAAAAAGTACTGAATATATTCCCATTCTGCAATCTTTTTCAAACGTGCAAAAATGAGTGCATTTGAGTGGATTTTGTTTTCATAGAAATTGAAGATTTGCAATTTTAATTTTAAGGCATTTTGTGAAGCACTCAATACCCAATAAAACACAACAACAAATTTTGAATGTGATATTTTAGTTTTATTTTTATGACCACTGCCACTGTACATCTTAGTGAACCATTAGTATGAAATCGAACAATATTACTTATAAGAGCTTATATGGGGACTATATCTAAATTTGAACGATTTCAATAAAGTCTATACAGACAAAAACAAAATACAAATGGTATCCCAAATAAACCGCCAACACTACTGATAGAATTTCTTTGTGATGGAATTCATTGAAAATTTTTGTGTGAATATTTTTTAGGGAATGGGTGGATGCAGTAGTTATATCATGCATTGGAACCACATTGCCCATGAGATATTATTCAGATTATTCGTTGAACATTTGTGTGTGTAGTTTAGCCACGTTTCCACCCATTTTTTATAATACCACGAACACAGCTTCCGCAACCTATTGAGGTTGTGAACCTCAGCTTCAAGGTATTTAAAAATTTTTTGGATATTCTCATATGGGAATACTAAAAAAATAAAATTGACACTAGCGTTACACTCAACTAGATGTCACAAAATTGTGATATAGCGCATACAAACGCTTAACACTGCTTTCTCTGTTGTAACGAATGAATGTTTGTCATGTATGTATTGCCATCTTTAAGTATAAAATTGCCATCGTTAAGTATGAGGTATATTTATTGAAAGTTTGTTATAGCATAATTAAAATAAATGAAAACTGAAACAACGGACCTAAAAAAATAGTTAGTTTTAAAAAATTTCGCTATAGCCATAGTTAGCTATAAGATTAAAGATTTGTATGAAAAAAATGTGTCTTAAAAGTTCGGGACTAGAAAATAAGTGCACTATAAGAAAAGTTTGTTATAACTTGTATTCTTTATAAACGTACTGGTTTGATCTGATAGAATAAGCCACCTCCAAAAAATAGCTCACACAAACAAAATTAATACCACTTAACATTGGTTTGAATCCATCTTAGGTTCTGATACATAAACAAAATTGTGGTATTAATTCTGTTTTTGCGATGGAATACAATTTTTGGAAACAAATCAAACACAAACTCTTACATATTTTGATATAAGCAAAATTGGACAAAAAACATTTTTAAAATAAACGACTCAAATATACCATACTTTATATATTAATGTATGAATTATCAAATACCTGGCGATGTGTTCGGCATCCAAGTGCTTCGGCGAACGAGCATCAATAACGATAACATGAAAACATTCGGTGGCACTAGAGAGATTTTCCAACGCATTTTCTTTCGTCTTCACCAAGTTTACTTCCAGTTGTTGGCGGTTACAAGCCTGTTGTACCACTTCACATATATTGTCCGATTTGTAAAAGACCAAAAGAGCCTACATGACAAAATTTATAGTGAAGTAAGAGCCAAAATGTAAGTGATTAGATGTACCTTGAGTTGTGGGTTTGGTGGTAAAACTGTGGGATATTTAACGTCATATACATGTCTCTGAAATAAAAAAATCGTTAATTAGTATTTTGAATATATTTTGTTATATTTGCACGATCAAAATTAAATGTATGCTAAAGACGGCACGCTATATGATACCCTACACCACTATGGGTAGGGAATATACAGTTGTGGTCACCAAATTAGCACGCTATCTAAAGATATACTATTTTGATAGGCTTATGTATGCTGTACTGATGGAGTTTGGTGCAGTTTGGTACCATATAAAAATAAATAAAGGTTAAAAAAATAAATAAAGGTAAAAATGAGAGTTTCGAGCAAACATTTTATTACTATATTGTTTGTAGTGTTTAGCAATATAGAACTCGACATGTTCTACAAATACATAGCGATATATCACTCATTTGCTGGTCGGCATAAATCAAAAATAGTCATTTTTGAATTAATGATGCAAAATTGTTTAATATCTTCTACAAACTCTGATTGAAAACTTAAAAGGCATTTTCTGCAAAATCAATATATTTTTTTTTATTTATGCCGGTCTTTCAGCAAATGGGTAATGAAATTCCTTAATTTACTTTTAGCAGTGTTTTTCATAGTAACAGTAAACTGTCCCAACTTGTAAAGTAAACGAACACATCTATTAACAGTTGTAAGGCAAATTCAAATTACACATATGTATTTTGACAGCTAATCTGATAATCATCAGGGCATGATCCGGAACCTGCATGAATCTTATAAATTTGTAAATTCTAATACGAAAACAGACCAAAATTTTAAAAGTTTTAACCTTTTTTAAGAGGGGAGGTTAGATATGCATCATAGTACAATTATAAAAGGTAACACCAAAATTCAGCTGATTTGATTCCAAGGTAATACAACAGGAAAATTGAGTGTCCTCCCGTATTCAACTTACTCAATCTGCCTGCTGGGAACTTACAGTTTCCAGCATTTTCATATTTGTACACATATAAGTGGCAATGGCTCAATTAGAGGAAATATGTGGAAGCGATAGAATATAAATCTAATACATTTTCCTTTGCGTTTTTCAATTTTATTTTGACGATTCCAAAATATTATACTTTTTAAATAAATAACATTTTGTGATAATTTGTTTTGTTTACTTTTTTGATTAAATGACCTTGACACTAGTATTACTTACAATAGAACATTTCCATGTGGTTATTGTATCGTTTGTTGTAGAACAGCATTTGAAGTTACCTTATATTGCTATGCCATAGCATGACCCAAATATCAGGTCATCCAGAAAGCGAAGTTCAGGAAATACCTGAAGTTCCGGAAATACCCTGTATATAAATTTTCTGCCAAAAGTTGTTGTTGTGGCGAAATTTTCCATTCATTTTGCACTTTTTGAAAGCGCACAATAAAATTTAAACACAACACGGATTTTATGAAAACACACAATTTTTCCCATAAGCATTTTGTGTATTTTACAACGTTACCTATTATCCGACGGGGCGTACAAAAATATTCCCCACTATGGCAAAATGTTGTTTACGGCCGCATTACCGAAACACTTCGAATCCATATCTTCAAGCGAATAATAGAAACCACAAAACAAAATTGAAAATTTATTAAATTAATCCAAGTATTTTATGTTCCTATTCGAAATTTCATATTATCTCAATATTTTGTTTTTATTTTCAACAAAATAAAAAAAGAAAAATACGTTTTGTCAAAGTTGAAATTGTTCAACTTGTACGATCGGCGTATTTCGGTAACATTCATATAAATACAGGTGTTCTACTTGAATTTTTTTAGTTATCCCACATTTGTTTCTTGTTTTATACCCTAATGAAAACCAAGTCCAAAGAACTTGCCTTTTTTATCATAGAGTGCTATGATTTTCGTATTAAATTTTTAATTCCAATAGTCAATTAAGTATGGCATATTCAATTCAAGTCCTCATTATCTATGGTCCGATATATAATGTTATGGTGGGTCAGTTGTGTTAAACATGAATAAACAATTGAGTTAATACATATGTAACGACGGGACGATTAAGTTTTGCATATGAAGTATTTTTAATCATGGCACAGTAATATAAAATACGGTTACGAAATATACAAATAAAAGAACTCTACTGTAATATCTTATAATGTCATATTTAATTATTTGCTTTTTTATTAAAAAAGGAAAACGTGGCGAAAAATAAATGGAATGTCTAAAATACAATATCTTTTCAAAATTGCGAAAGTGTTCCTCAGCGAACGTTTGAATATTTAATTTTAATTGCAAATTAATTTGCGAATATTTTCAAAAATTTCTGGAAGTATTTACTTTGTTATGTATTAAAAATAAACATTTCATGTTATTTCCTACAGGATTTTGGGTAATCATAACCTTTCACGTTCGCGTTTTAGTTATGTGTTGAAAAATGTCAAGTAAACACCACTATTTGTTGCGTATGTTTTTTGGGATTAAGAATAATAATTTTAAAACTCAAGTAGATGGATTTTCACGAAGAATATTTTTTAAGTTATTTTTTTCTCTTTCGAGTTGAGCTTAATGATCGAAGTTTTGTAATGAAAAGGAAAGCCAGAAAAAGCCGTTGGTTAAGCGGCTCATCAGGCATATTGCGATATGTGGCTTTATTTATGTTGCAGTTGATGCGAATTTGCATCTGCGAATTAAATTCAAATTTGACAAGGTTAGACATTTGTCACTCTAGAAAGCAGATTTGTATGATAGCGATCGATAATTAATCCACACAGCTATATATTTTAGGATTTTAAATTTATATAGTTTTCAATATTTCGTTTCATTCCTTTCTCTCACAAAACGTACGAGTTTCCAGTATCGTACCAAAAAAAATTATGTATATTATTATTATAGTTTATATGCAAATACAGGTATACACTGCAACCTCGTATGCCAGTATCATACTTTGATGCGTTTTTACATAAGATTAGATAAATTCCTAATGATTAGGCTTTTCCGTAAACATTTGTATCTATAAGAATTTATAACCATTTTTTATAGTTATTTCAAGTGACTGCACGCAATGAACCCACGAAAAGACTTTTAATTGTGAAAATCGTAAAAGCGTCCTTTGGAAAAAAAAAAATTTTAGAAATTGTAGGCGAAAGCGCATCCATTTCTATATTTAATTGTTATTTTTAAAGACATTTTCTATAAAATTCGAAACGAACGAATCCATGTGCTTATAATCGGTTTGGTGTTGGAAATAATCTGGGATATGCCATAATTATACAAGGTAGTCTCATGCAGACATACATATCGTTAGCTAAAATGCAAAAAGGCGTAACTAACAAAATCATAATTGTGTAGGAGAAGCAAAAAACTGTTTTGAATGAAAACTATAAACATGTCATGTGAAATGAAAAAGTATGCCCGTCAGGATGTTATTGCATATGACGAATAATAGACTATAATTTTTTAACAAATTTAGTTATTTAGTTTAATGGCAGTCATAACAATTAAGTAAAAACGTGAATTTTTGGTTAGTTACGCCTTTTTGCATTTATCAAAAAAACCCAGTTGTAGTTAGGTCTTTTTGTTTTTGTTAATAGAAGCTCCTTTTTTGACCGCAGACGTGTAAAACTTTGTCAACACATGTAGTTTATTGACATTCACAATTTTTTTCATATCTTGAATTTTGACAACATTCAAAATATGTAAGGATATCCTCCTTCGAAATCTACGCAGGAAAATATTACGAAATTATTAATATGGTCTAATATTTAAGTTCCCTGACCACAAGTGCGGTTTTATGGAATTTTATGGAATATATTTTTCATATTTTTTGAAATTGATATTTGATTACAAATAAAAAGGAATGCCATTATTAATTTCTCAAATGAGATTACCATCCATAATTAGTATTGTATTTGGTAAATTCGAATTAGCGAATGTATACGTACCTCGGCGTCACTCTCTTGCACCTCTTTAAACGTTATATCTGTTTTGGGTCCACTGACAGTTTCTTTCCATTTGCTTTCGAGGATTAACTTGAGTTTTGGACTTTTAGGCAGACGACGTTCGTACAAACAAGAGTTTGATTTCTCTTTTGACGTTTGAGGGCATTTACGGCGCAGAATAACATCTTCAATGCTGGACTCCGATATATTATCTTCGTGGTCGTCTGCACCATGGTCGACGAGTCCTAGATCGATTTGTATCGAATGACCAGGGGGAGGCATGGAACGCACAGAACTGTTTCTACGACCATGGCGACGAGCCTGCTGTGCACAATCGAAACGTCTCAACAATTCAAACTTGTCCTCAACTGTTAGGTTATTGATACGCAAAGCATTGGCGTCTAAGCTGCGAATCACTTCAGCAATTTCCGGTCGTAAATTGCGCCCAAATGCAAACTGAATGTGTTTTGCGTTTGTCGGCAATGGTGTCATTACATCCTCGTATTCGGCTGCAACTTTAGCCTCGTACTCTATTTCCTCTGGTGTCTTGGCAGTACGAACAGTTTCAATGGAGCTGTTGTTTTCGTTACGTGAATTGCTATTCTGACCAAATTGTTCACTGTTTGTTGTACGTTTTTGTGGATGTGCTTCATTTACGGCCACAGACGGCCTGTTGTCACTATTCATATAATCACTTGCTCTGTTTAAATCGATAGATACATCGATATAATTTGAACCTTGCAGTGTATTTGAAAGAGAAGAAACAGAACTTCCACTTTCCAATGGCAAAAGTCGCCCACTTTCAACATCATTTATGTCATTGATATGTCTGTGTTGTCCATTTATGTCAGCGAAGCCAGGGATATGTTGTTGCTGCTTGTAATAAGCTTCATCGTTTCCAGGCAACACATCATTATCCTTTTTTTCTTTCTTTGATTCGTTCATTACACTTCGATTACTCTTCAGGGAAAGACGCAACTGTGAATGCTTCTTACCAGCTCTATCACCTGTATTCTGTGTCGATATGTTCGATGTATGTCCGACTTTTATCATTTTTTCGTGCGTACTTATATCCGCACTTTTATCACCAACTCCATCATAACTGCTCCGACCCGAACATTTATCATTTGTTTTCAA